TATTGTCTCAAAGCAGCAAAAGATCGCTACAGGCCCAACACAGCCTACAATCGGTATCCCTTATCGATTCTGCAGAATCAACCTCGAAGCACCCGCCCGAAGTATCTAAGGACTCGTGTCAACCTCATAAGACCCTCCCACGAGTCCCATATCGAAATTAAGTACTAAGAGCATACGAAATGCCCTCTATAAATAGGCCCCTCCACTACAATACAGGATAAGACTTTTCAGCTTGACTTTTATATTTTTATATGGTCAACAGCAAGAGCTCTTAGAAACAACCTTACTTTGGCATCGGAGGGTCTTAGGCTGGTTCCACACCGGTTCCATAGACCTCACGAGTCTCAACTCTCTTCTATTCAGGATCTGCATCCAATGACAAGAAGAATCTGCATCTATCATTCAATCGATCTGCTAGATCGTCCTCACCGCTTGTAAGTTGCACTCATCTCTAGTTTTAGTGCCAACAAATTGAAAATTGAAAATTGCAATTTTTTAAATGCAAATAGAAATCTTTAATTATGCGGGCAGGTGCCTGGTCGGTAATTAACTGAGTTTGTTAATTCCATTTTGTTTGGAATCATTCATATTCTAAGTCCCACTCACATTTGTTTAATCTGTTGGTTTGAATCTTCTCATGTAGAAAAAATATCTTATTTTTTTAATTTAAATGTAATCTTTGTCGCTTTATATGCACTCACATTTTCTACTTTGTTGAATTTGCCAACTGATAATTTGAGTTTAAGGAGTGTTTGATAGAGAACCTGCATATACCGAGAAGAAGCATGGCCTTTCTAATCAATCATATATTTATAAGACTGCCAAACAAAACTAACAATGTGAAATTAAGGACTCAAAAGCAACTGTCTGCTGATCTGAACTGGCATGAAATCTTGCAAGAGCTGAATTATCCTCCCCTGTTCTGTAAGTAGTAATTTGTCTTCTGCGATACTTAACACTTAATTTTCATCGAAAATCAAAAGTGTTATTCCAAAAAGATTGTAATAGCAGAGTGTTATGTTTAAAGCAATTAATTTTAATGGCTGAGAATTCATATTTTTCTACAATAACTGAAACATATATCGATGCAAATTAGCTTTGACGTCTGGAACATGAGAATGGTTAAGTATTTTATACTTTAATAAAGTGTAAAGCAATCCCACCAGAATTTCTTTATTGATAAATATCCTTTTAACTTTAATAAAGTGTTTTTATACTTTATTGTTGGATGAGATTCTCATTGCTTTACTTTTCACCAGAAAGAAAAGATTGATGCAATACAACATTGGTACTATGAGTCTGAGGTTAGTGGAAAGCATGGTTCTTCCAAGCAACTCATGAAGATCACAAATGAGCAACTCTATTTTATATATCATCTTGGTTCCAAACCTAATAGAATAGGTAGGTATCGCTTTCATGTAACTCATCTTGGATGTTTTTGAGCAATACCTACTGATTTTCTACTCCAGTCTTTACTGATAAATGCATCCATCCATAGATCTAAACCCTAAGTAGAGACATACTAGAGTAACAAAAAACTCCATAAATGCATCCATAGATCTAAACAAAAATTACTCTTATCACTTCGATATTAATTTAAACTATCTTTCTTTTAATCCTTGCAGGAGACAATATGCAGGGCTTGAGTAGCTACGAAAAGTGCTTCTGCACTGCACCTCTAGAAGTTGATTTAAAGCACTTTTCCTCATTAAACTGCACCACAACAAACAAATTGACAATGTGATGCAAAACTCATAAGAATATAACTCAGATTTGATGATGAGTGTCAAGAAAACAAATTAAAGGGATCACAGCTTACCATTTTGTCCAAAACAATAAGTTGTAGACCACAGGCACATTGCGTGCATGCGTTTCTTGTTCAATCTCGACTCTGCAATGCATGGTCAATATAAAACCAAGACCAACTTAGCAAGAAATGTTCAAAATAACCTTCAACTTTTCAAATGGCGGTAAAGAGCTTATAATTGAAGATTTCTTTACCTGAACATTGCAATAAGCATAGGTAAATGAAGACTCGCTAACGTTGGTGAAATTTTATCCAGTAACTTTAGGAACAGAGGCCTCTGTTCTGTGTGATCATATGCAACCATGCAAGAGTCCATGACCTGAATTATAGAAACAAGAAGGAAAATGGATACTCAAGGGTACTCTAAGATACTCAAGGTAAATAAAAAGAATTAATAATTCAACATCAACAAATGATAATACCATATATATAGCTGAAATGAAAACCTGCACCACGAAAACACCATATTGGTTGCATTATGTGGTAAATAGATCTCAAGTACCTGCACAAAGAAATAGAAACTGATTACCTCTGTAGGAAAACAGAGGTAATAGATCTCAAGTACCTGCACAATATGTTGCACACCAGTTCTTCCTTTGACTGATGACCTCTTTGAAAACCTACAAATCAAACCAAAGTAACAATAAAAGTCCATCTGCATATATACAATACAACAGACATGGCATGGACACATCAAAGTAGTAGATATCTTCCAGTGCCAGGAATGCACTGAGGACGTGAACTAAAATCAATTAATAACTGCAAATAGACAGTTCTTCAACAAATTAGGCTCCCCGATCACTCTGGTAAATCCTCCAATTCATTAAATGTATATAAACTACTATTACTACTACTACTACAGACCGTGTATACTTGGAATTAACAGAGACTGACATAAACTTACTAAAAACATTTTGTATAGGGCAAGCATATGTCAAGTAAGATACTCGTAACTGATACTGATGGGAAGTTACCAGATATCTAAGACAATCACCTATTGAGAAGGCCTCCAGGGAAATGTGTATATCTCAAATGAAAATAATTGAAGCTATACCTGTACGTGTGAATGATTTCTAAGAATAATCATATTCTCCATGCTAGTAAAGTGATCTTATGATCATTAGATGGAAATGTAAGATATAATTATTAGGGTAATTCTCTGTTGGAAGTTCAATCAGTAAATGCAGTTGGTAAAATTGGACAGTGGTCTTCACCACTATTGCCTTTTCAACTAGCTTGTTTATTTTCATTTGCGTGTGCAGCTGTAACTTTTGATTTGGCAGCTATTATAGTTAATTTTTCTTTACCATCTAATTTCCCTATAAAAGGGATATGAGTGTTTATGACTGGCAGCAGCAGAAAATTCTACATCAACATATGAAACTAGATTTAATTTATAGGTAGAATCCTTATGAAGAATCAAGATTTAAGTACCAAATGCTGCAATTTTATGAGTTGCCATATTTTTCCCTTATGAAGAATTAAGAAAGATACTCATAACTGTATGATGGGAAGTTACCAGATATCTTCGACAATCACCTACTGATCAGCACCTTGGAATCTGAACCAAACTGCTATTTCTCCCACTTCCACACCTCTAACCCTCTACTGATCACCTCAGCAAGGATGTATTGCAAATACATCCCCATCTCCTTTGGAAAAGAATCCAGTGGTGAGAGTGAAGCAGATGCAAACCTGACCCAGAAAAAGTATAAAAGTTGAAATGACAACAAACGTTATGAAGAACATTACCGAAACCGATATGTAAAATAAACTCACATTTGTGTAAGAGCATCAAACTAAAGTGCATTACGAATGAGCAGAGGTTAGCACCTAATTACTGATAACATATCATGTGTAGGTAATCTTTTTGAAATAGAAGGAATATCATACAAATGATTAGGGAGCCAAAAGTTTTTCTAAGTTACATCAAGTGTGCATGCAATTTAAAGTCTGTTCATGTACAAAACTAGGCCAGCAGCATTAAAATGTTGAAGAAAAAAACTGCTAACGATTTATGGTAAAGAGATAAAATTAGCAGTAATTGAATACAGTAGATTGCAAAGGTAGCATTGAAGAAATTGACTTTAAACTAGTTGTCGTCATTTATTTCTTTCATTGTAAGTCCCTCCTAATAGGGTAGAATTATAGCATTTTATTTATAAATGAAGGCAGAGTAGAGTCAGAAATTTAGCAAGCTACTGATGAACACGTATAAAATACTTCAAAAGTAAAAACAATATGATTATTATTAGGGTAATTCTCATCCAAAGAAATGAGTAAATAACGATGCAGGGGAAAGGGAACTGAAGTGAAGTACCTGGACTAAGTTTGCACCTAATTAAAAAAGGTACAAACTAGAAGATTCCGACTATTTGGTTACTAACAAATGTATCAGTAATTTATTTATTTCATATCTAGACTCAATGTGAAAATTATTTATTTACAGTATAAAAATGAGAGCTTCTTTTGTGCACTTATACTACTTTATGTTTTTTTTTAATACTTTTGTAATTACCATTAAAAAAAAGTGTAAGTGGACAAAAGGGGAGTGAAAAATTTAGTTAGTAACCAAAAATTAGTGTAATAAAGCTAACGAGGTTTAGCTTAGTGAAAAATAACATTGACTTGCAAACCAGTATTCATAAGAAGTTCATGATTTACATAAGTTAATGTCTCTAGTATTGCCGTTGGTTATAAGAAGTTCATTTGCAGTTCAATAAGAATAACTGACCTAATCCTAAATGATTTACCTTGTTGATAGAAATGATATTTACTCTGAGATATAGAAAGTAAAAGGATTTTGTATTTTTAAGGAATTGTAAATTTACTGGGGTAAGAATGCTTAACATTGTAATCTCCGATTTAAAAACCTGTTCCTGCAAGTAAAGATCAAGAATACTTATTGGGCTGCCCTCCAAATAGAAATGATATTTACTCTGAGATATAGAAAGTAAAAGGATTTTGTATTTTTAAGGAATTGTAAATTTACTGGGGTAAGAATGCTTAAATGCCAAGTCGAAAGTAAAAGGAATTGTAAATTTACTGGGGTAAATTTACTGGGCTGCCCTCCAACGCCAAGTCGAAAGTAGGACATGTAAAAGTGATCTCAGGTTGCAGTTTTCCTATTTGGGCCACATAAATGCCACTAGTTCTGTAAGTTGTGGGCCGAGTATTTTTTTTCTTTCTAACAAAAAACAAAAAAACCAGCAATTTTACAAAATTTAACCGACTAATTCTTAGTAAACTTTATTTTCAACGTGAACATATAGATAACTAGTAAAATCATGTACGTATGTAGCGACCCAGGTGTTAATGTAAAGATTATTACCAACCCCCAATTGCATTGCATTTGTCCCCCTTCCCTTATGCGCTAGCTACATGTAGTTGAGTTTTCAGTGGTCATAGGAAAGAGCAGAAGCTAGATACAAGTAGCCATGCCACGCTGCACGCACCTAGTGAAATGTCTTTGGATGATCAAATTATAAATGGAGATTTTGAAGCAATCTGTATATAAGTTTTATGTCAAGACTAAATAAGCTAATAAGTTTGACGTGAGTAATTTTTGTGATTCTAAAAACAACCAAATGCAAGTTGCAACTACACTTTATGCGTCAATACGAAGCAGAGTAAGGAATTTGTCACATTTAATTTACTTCCCTAGTTCGAGCCCACAAACCAAACGCAACAAAAGTAAACACAACAAGAAACACCATATTTAACGTGGTTCACCCAAAGTTGGGCTACATCCACGGGCGACAATGCCAATGATAATTCACTTAATCAAAAGAAAAAGAGTACAAAGAGTACAAAGAACAAACTAAATTTATCTAGCTTCTCTCATCCCATTATTCCCTATAGAAATAGAACCCCAAGTAGCAAGTACATCCAAAGGTCACTCATAAAAGCACTTCAACTATCTTTCTTCGAAGAGACAGGACGCAGAGCTTGACTAGCCAGGAAAAGTATTCTCTTAGAAGTTGATGGAAAACACTTTTCCTCATTAAACTGCACCACAACAACAAACAAGTTGACCCTGTGATGCAAACTCATAAGAATATAACTCAAGATTTGATGATGAGTGTCGAGAAAACAAATTAAAGGGATAGTAGCTTACCATTTTGTCCACAGCAATAAGTCCTAGACCACAGGCACATCGCATGCATGAGTTTCTTTTTCAATCTCGACTCTGCAATGCATGGTCAATATAACACCAAGACCAACTTAGCAAGAAATGTTCAAAATAACCTTCAACTTATCAAATGGTGGTAAAAGGCTTATAACTGAAGATTCCTTTACCTGAGTCTTGCAATAGCATAGGTAAATGACATGCTATCAAATAAGACTAGGAACATAGGCCTTTGTTCTGTGTGATATGCAACCATGCAAGAGTCCATGACCTTAATTACAGAAACAAGAAAAAGGAAAATAGATCAACACCTTCCAGAAATAGTAATTTCCTTACACTACATGTATAAATTATGATTGTTTTTGGGTACTCTAAGATATGTAAGTAAAAAAATCACTTCACCATCAACAAATGATATACCATTTATATAGCTGAAACCTGCATTATGAACCACACGTTGTACACAAAAGGTTAGACGTTGTACACAAAAGGTTAGACAGAATATGAGTATTGATTGCAGTATCTCCTTGCCTGTAAAAGAGAAAATTTAAAATTTGAAACAGAAAATTACAGATGTCGCAACGAGGACACCAAGGACTCATAAACACCTGCAATTATATAGATTGCCACAAAAACAAAGCAGTTCTGTGAAACAAATGACTTAAAGCGATCTGTTCGATCATCCAAAAAATTGGAATGAAATCATGCAAGAGCTGAAGTGTCTTGCCTTTTCTGTATGTATTAGTTTGTCTTCTATACTAGCAAACCTAATTTTCCTCAACAATCTTAAGTGTTATCCCACAAAGATTGTGAAAACACAATGTCATATTTAAAGCAATAAATTTTGTTCTTCCATGATGCAAGAAAGTCTAAGATATTGAAACCAAACCACTAAAGAGTTCAATATATTCCTGCAATGTATAGTAATGCCAAAACTTTTTTTTTTTGGGCATAGTAATGGTAAAACTACTCCTTTTTTCTCTTTCTTTCTTTCTTTTTCTTCTTCTTCTTCTTTTGTGTTGTAGTAGAGAAAAAACTTAATGGCCACTAAGTTAATTAACTATAAATAAAACGTACACTTGACTCATGGAAATATGACAAAATCTTTGCCACTTGACTTGGGCGGCTCTTCTTGGTGCATCTTTTTGTTTTGGGAACATTTTCGGAGTCTTCAACTGCTGGTAGATACTCATCACTCGAGTAAATTCTCACAGATACAAATAGATAGTTCATCAATAGCTGCAAGGTTCCCTCATCACTTGAGTAAATCCTCCAGATCATCAAATTTTTATAAGCAATTTCTAAGGACTCTTTAAACTTCAAATGGATGCTTGTCCCAAAAATCTGCAAATGAGTATCATCAATTTAATAAATAACACAGGTTCTTCAGAAATGGTTGCACAGCAAGCGAAGAGAGGTGAAAGATACATCCAGTGGTAAGATGGAAGCATATAACAAAGGATGATTAATACATGAAACAAACAAATTACAAAAGGCTGCTGCCAACACAATTCTTATTGAAACAAAAGACATACCATTAAAGCATGAGCAAAGGTTAACATCAATTCACTAATAATAATTCAAGCATACATAATTCTTAAGAAATAAGTAACTGACCAATGTAGGACAACAGGGGAAATAGATCTTAAGTACCTGCACCTTGGAATCTGAACAAGCTGCTATTTCTCCCGCTTACGCACTTCTAACCCTCCACTGATTGAAGCAGATGCAAAATGAATGCTGATCAAAACCTGACCCAGAAAAGTATAAAAAGTTGAAATGATAGCAAAACGTATGAAGAATATATTACTGAAACCGATATGTAAAATAAACTCACATTCGTGTAAGAGCATCAAACTAAAGTGCATTAAGAATGAGCAGAGGTTAGCATTTAATTACCGATAACATAATCTTCTCTGAAACAGAAGGAATATCATACAAACGATCAAGGAGCCAGTAACAGACAAGTAGGCCAGTAACAGATCGTTTTTGTATGTTACTTCATAGAGTGCCAGTAACAGACAAGTAATGTTGGCACATCAGCGAACTATGCTAATCTGAGAATTCAAATCTCTGTCATTGCAAATCAAAGTCAGTTTTCATGATACAAAACTAGTAGGCTAGCAGCAGCAATAAAATGTACAAGGAAAATACTGCTACAGATTTATGAGAAAGAGATAAAATCAGCAGTAATTGAATACAGTAGATTGCGAAGCTAGCAAGGAAGAAAATGACTTTAAACTAGTTATCGTCATTTTATTTTCTATCGTCATTTTATTCTCTGCTCTGAAAATATAGTGTAATGATTAATCTGATCAGAGAGGAACGTAATTAGTTAGAGAAGCAGAGCAGGCTCACTCTCAGAATCATCACCACTTGAAAAAGAATGCTCGTAGTAGGTTGGGTTACATCTTCGGAGTGGGAGTGGGTCAACTAATTAAAAAAGGTGTTTGGTCAATACTGAAGAAAAGATAAGTGAACAACAATGAAGGATTTCTTTTGAGAATATAATTACCTGATATACATGGGATATGAGAAATCTTGTGCTATTCTGGGTCGCTCAGGAGGGCGGATCTTCCCCCTAGACCGGGACATGTAACAAGTTTGGTGAGGCGTTGCATAACCTCAACGGCATGAAGATACACCAGATTCTCACACCCCTTAATCCTCAGATGGGTAAGAGATGTAAGGTTACCCCAACCACTCTGGAAGAGCCTCCACGCTGTCGAAATCCTGTATATACAAATCTTGTAGACAAGTGGAGTGTTGAATTTGTTGTTGAGGTAGATACTTGAGCTTTGGCTACCCTGAGATCTTCAGCCATAACAAGCAAAGAACTAGCTCATACAAGATTACTACCACTGGCAGCCAACACATAATGGTCTGTATCAACATTATCTCATGATTCCTGCAAACTACCATAGTTCATCCTTATCAGTTTGTGCTTGCCAAGTCACATCGTCGTTGATCAGCTTCACAAATCCATCTGATGGACACCTTCACCTACCTCATGCAAGGATCTATAGCAAATACATCCCCATCCCCTCTGGAAGAGAATTAAGTGGTGAGAATGAGGCAGATGAAAAATGCTGATCAAAACCTGACCAAAAAAGTATAAAAACTGAAATGACAACAAAACTTATGAACATATTACTGAAACTGATATGTAAAATAAACTCATATTCGTGTAAGCGCATCAAACTTAAGTGCATTGAGAATGAACATGGGTTAATGTCTACTTAATGATAGTATATCATGTGTATATAATCTCTATTGAAACAGAAGGAATATAATCCATATATATAAAGCAAAAGTGTGAATACTTTTCTCATATATAAATAGGAGAATGATTTCTCAGAATAATCGTATTCTCCTCCGTGCTAGTAAAGTGATGTTATGATTAGATGGGAATGTATGATATGATTATTAGGGTAATTCTTTCTTTTTCTGAATTGATCTCAAAGAAATGAGTAAATAAGGATGCAGAGGAAAGGGAACTGAAGTGAAGTACCTGGACTAAGTTTGCACCTAATGCGCATTATTTGTTCTTCAAATTGCGTAAGATCCTTCTGCAAACCAACAACGTGTATAGGAAACATATGGAAAACATTAAGCAGAGGCTAGAGAAGAGTAGAAAGCTCTGAAAATCTAGTTTAACAATTAATCTGATGAGAGAAGAAGAGTAGACTCACTTTGTGCTCCAACTGTGCTAGCTAGTTTGTGAAGGGGTTGCATGGGTTGAATCCTCATCACTAAAAGATTCCGATCATTCTGCTTAAACTAATTAAAAAAGTGTTTGGTCAATAATACTGAAGAAAGAAGAGAGATTCTTCAATAAATATTTTATGTTAGAGGATTGGGTTACAATTTCTAATCTCTATATTAAATCTACCAACACATCTAATGAATGCAATTTGAGATTAGAAATATATACCCAATCCTTAACTTATACTTATTGGAAAATTAAGTGAGAAAAGGGAATTGAATGATTTCATTTGAGAATATTGTAATTACCAACTATACGTGGGATGTGAGAAATCTTGTGCCATTCTGGGCCGCTCTCGAGGGCGGATCTTCCCCCTAGACGGGGACATGCACCAATCACTAGCACTTGTAGTTTGGTGAGGCGTTGCATAACTTCAACGGCAGGAAGAGACACCAGATTCTTACAGTTGTGAATACTCAGGGTGGTAAGAGATGTAAGGTTACCCAACCATTCTGGAAGAGCCTCCACACCATCGAAAGATTCAATCTCCAAAGATGTTAGAGAAGTAGTCAACTGTTGAATTTGTTGAGGCAGAGGCTTGAGCCTAAGATTAGGCCACCCTTTCATCACTAGTCTTTGGATTTGTGATGGAAGCTCAAAATCAGGGAAAGAATCAAGCTCCTCCGAAAACGGACCCATTTTCATAGATTCTAAACGCGTAAGAGAGCGTAGCCCCTCTATTGGCAAATAGTTTAATTTCCCACAATTAAATATATGTAAAGAGGAAAGAAACTGCAACCTGGATACATCGAGATCTGCCAGAGATATCAAATTGTCGCATGACTTGATTCTCAACTTCTTAAGAGATGTGCAGGATGGTAGCCCACTCGGTAGACTTGTCAATCCATGACAACCCCGAATATCCAACTCCTGAAGAGAGATGCAATATTCTAAGCTAGTCGGCAAGCTTGATAATTTCCCACAATCCACAATCTGCAATTTGCGGAGACATGGCATGCCCTTGTCCTTGCCCTTGCCCAGGGTAATTGGAATGAACTCGAGACTATAGCAATAATATATAGTCAACTCCTCAAGGCAGGGAAACACCGCTACTTTCTCATCTGTTGGCAGTTCCTCCCATTTAATTAGAGCTGGGCACCATTTAATAGTTAAGCTTTTCAATGCTGGAAACAAAGTCTCTTTCTTCTTCGTACTCGTAGCCGCACCATAAAACTCAACTCCCACACATTTAAGCTTATCCATATGGCTAAACTCAACAAGCCTAAGATTTGGTAAATGGCCAAGTGATGGGACTTGTTCGCATTTTCTGCAATACGATAACCGAATCTCTGTCAATTTGAGTGGCAACGAACCACTCATCATCCATGATGCTAATTTAGAACCCATGAAACTCTCAATCTTTAAGATTTCTAACTCAGAGTTGGGTCGGAGGCCTTCTAGTACATCAATGTCTCGGAGGCCTTCTAGTACATCAATGTCTTTCTCATTTCTGCCCCTGTAATTATAGTCCCATTGTAATGTCAACCTTCGTAGATTTGCTTTCCCAACTAAATTTGATGCCTCTGCTTGGCCTCCGTCCCTCACATGTTCCAAACCGCTAATACTTAGTCCACCTTTTAATTGGTTTAAGCCACCCAGTTCGTCAATTCCACGATTACTTTCCTTGTCCAAAGTAAACGATGGAGATATTGTTTGCAGATGTTCCAATCGTCCCATCCCAAATGGGACTGGCTTATGATCATAATAAACATGCCTCAAGTTGATCAAATTTTCCATTTCCTTCGGAAACGTTACAAGATGCCTTGTATCCTCCATTCTTAACGTTTGTAGGTTATAAAGCTTGCCAATAGACTTAGGGAGTTGTTTGATTTTTGTTCCAGAAACGTTCAAATACCTCAAATGTATCAAGACGCCAATTGAACTTGGCAGCTCCTCAATATCAGCCCTGTACAAATTTAAAACACGCAAAGCCTTAAAGCTTATAAGTAATGTATTATTATTAAGGGCTTGATCACCATTCACAAACAGTGACCGCCGTTTCTCAACATTTCTTTCGGAACTTTCGGAAGGATCCCATGCCACGTGTTGATTCTCAAGTTTATCTTCCATTTCAGATCTTGATACAAGCTTAGCAAGATCGTGTACAAGATCGTGCATCTTGCAATGGGTAATAATACCAAAGTGATCCCTTATAACATCTTGAAAGAGGGAGTTTTGCATCAGAATCATAAAATATTCATCACCTATATCCTCCATATCTTTGTTAGGAGAAGAACACAGAAATCCTTGAGCCATCCATAGCTGGATCAAGTCTTCCCTTTCTATTTTAAAATCTTTCTTGAACTTTGAGCAATATGCAAAACACTGTTTCAAAAAAGGTGATTTCAAATTATCAAAACTCAACTTCAAAACCGACATAATTCTTTCATCTCCTTCTGGTAATTCCCATATCTTACTTTTTTGAATTTCCGACCATTCATCAATACTTTTAGAACGCATCATGCTTCCCAAAACCTGTTGGTACATAAATTAGTGTATATATTAAAGAGGCTTATTATCACAAAACATCCATAACAGGAAACATCATTTGTTGCGAAATTATCACATTGCATCCCTAACGTTTTTTTGTATCATTAATGGTCCCTAACGTTAATACAGGTACTCTTAAATAGTCCTTCTGTAAAAAAAACTGTTAAATCTAGGGGTATAATCGTCAAATCAATCCAAAATTATAATATTTTTTTTCTTCCCTTCTCTCTCTGTTTCTCTTCTTTTTTTTTCTCCTCTCTTTCCTCCTCTTTTCTTCTTCTTTTCCTTCGCTGTTTCTTCTTTCTCTCCCTTTTTTTTTTTCTTCTTTCCTTCTTTGTTCCTCATTTTTCTTCTTTCCTTCTTTCTCTTTTTTTCTTTTTTCTTTTTTCTCTTTTTTCTTCCTCTTTCCTTCTCTCGGGGTGGTGATTTGGGTGGCTAGAGTGCTGGGTTGGTGGGCTGTGGAATGGGGCAGGGAGAGAGTTGCAGAGAAAGTACATAGAGGGGCAGGGGTATAAGATCCCACGGTGGTGGTTATGGAGGTCGAGGTGGTGGTTTGGGTGGCTAGAGTGGATGGGTTGGTGGGCTGTGGGAGGGGGCAGGGAGAGAGTTGCAGACAGAGTAGAGAGAGGGGCAGGGATATAAGATCCCACGGTGGTGGCTTTGGTGGTCGGGGTGGTGGTTTGGGTGGCTAGAGGAGACAGAGAGAGAGAGAGAGAAGGGAAGAAAAAAAGAAAGAAAGAAGAAGAGTGAGCGGGGCCAGGCGGAGAGAAAGAAGAAAGAAAAAAGAAAAAAAAAGAGAAGGGAAGGAAAAAAAATTTTATAGTTTTGGATTGATTTGACGATTATACCCTTGAATTTAACGGTTTTTTTTACAGAGGGACTATTTAAGAGTACCTGTATTAACGTTAGGGACCATTAATGATACAAAAAAACATTAGGGATGCAATGTGATAATTTCGCAAACGTCAGGGATGTTTTGTGATAATAAGCCTATTAAAGATTAACTAGGTGACTTGGCTATAATAACAGGAAACATCATTTGTTTTTTCAAAAAACTTAGTTGTATGTTACCAGTAAATGTTAACATTTCACCAAAAACTGGTATTTTGTTGGAATGTTTAATCCTTAGCCAATGTTCATGTGTGTAAATAGTAAATTTGGGTTTTCCCCTTCAAACACAATTTTTTTTTTACCTACAACACATCACCTTATTTTTCCATAAATAAAAATGAATTTTTTTAAATAAAACCCGATGCTAATTACATTGTAACGATATTTTTTTCAACAAATTATTTGCTGATTCTGAAGCAGAATTAGCATCAATTTGTTCTGCAATGGGAGCGACTAGTACATATTAGACATGTCATGAAGCCACTGTGGCATCGATTTCTTTTCAAAAGGAAATAAATAATGTGCAAAGGTTTTTTTCCCTAAGTCCTTAGAAGTTATTTTACAAAGGGGTGAATTTATCGTTAAATATTTGAAGATAAGATGGGTGAGGAAATAAGACAAAGGAGTGGAAATAACTACACTCATTGTCAAACCTGGTCTCACAATTCACGAAAATATTGCTTATTGATGTGGTAATTCGCTAAACCTTGCTTCTATATTTTGAGTTATCACAAGCTGATAAGTTGATATGGTGAAAGATAGTTATTTATGATTACATAGATGATTTTAAACTGTGATTGAAGTAAGTTTACGGTTTATTTATCCCCTTTCAATGCATACATCTGGTGTGGTAACAAATGTAAAGAAAAATTGCTACACTTAAGCCTATGGCCTCGAAATATGACTATGCAAAGATTTGCTCACTTTTGACAAAATCCTATGAGAAGGAGATAAGACGGCAGCTAGTTGTCTTGTATATTCACTTTCCAAAACTGCCCCCCATGGGTATGATCAGGGAGGGATTGGCACCAAGTCAAGCAACTGAATCTGAATTCTAAAAGCCGTCTTAATTAATTTGGAGTTAATTTGTAATGAAGGCATCGTCACACTTTTACTTTTTGACATAGAATATGCATGACACCTTTTAAATTAATACTTGTTCTTTTTTTTATTCTTAAATGTGTATTTAATTTTCATTTTAAATATTTTTAACAAAAGAGACACGTATCAGATTGTGGTTGAGCTAGATTAGTAGATAAGGAGGAATTCTTTCTTATGGGCAAGGAGGGAAGCATTATTCTTGTAAATAATTCAATACTAATGGACAATTTGTCATTCAATTAAATTTTGGGTTTTAGTTAGAATTAAAAAGTATGTGGGTTTTTGTCTAGACTATTTTAGTTGCAAGGGGCTATAGCTGAATATCTTGTATGTAAATTATCTGTTACTTTTAGTACTTGTAACAAATAAAGAAATGGATGCAGAAGAATCTTCAAATTGATATATCATTACGTACCTTTGCCGTTAACGGTATACCAGCACACTTTCTGGCAATCTCCCTTCCAATTGTTTCTAGATCTTTTGCAATAGGAGCATTACCATCTGGAAATGCTCTTTTCTTCAATATATCCCAACAATCATCAACAGATAGACCCTTCAGATTACAACTTGGAAGTACTTTTTCTGTTATTGATGCAACAATGACACTGCGCGTAGTGACAATAACAACGCTTTCCTGGGCACTATGAAGTTTTGACAAACAAGCAAAATGCCTACAAATAGAATCATCATTGAATACTGACTTAGCCAAAGTTGTCTTCCCTAGGCCTCCCATTCCTACAATGGGCATTACTGAAAGATTTTCTTGATCCAAGTTGGAGTTAGTCAAGATTGTAATTATCTTTGACAGATCCTCCTTCCTTCCAACCACGATTTCATCTTCCTCAAAGATTGAGTCGGTTTCTCTGGCCCCCACAATTTGTGGAGGGGTTGTATCTATTCTCTTGGAAACTAGTCCAATGAAAGCTGCCTCAGATTTGAGATCCAACAAAGATGCATTGATCTTCTTGATTTTATGTGCCATTC